TCACGTATGAGTCTGCGCTAACATTTGGAAAAGAGTATCGTCAGAGAAAATGAGGCAACGTACAGGAGAAGTGACTAACTGAGAACCATATTTTTGTTACAGCAGTACTTTTCAGACATGAATTTTTCGATACGCACATTATGATGTTAAGAGCTAGTAAGAAATGTTATGCTATAAGATCTTGTTTGCGAATGTTTAAAATGTTTTAGGTCAGTTCGTTTCGCTCCCCTATCCATTCTGGCCCCCTTCCTTAAGGGCCGGTAAATCACTCTTTCCCTCTTTGCATCGTAAAGTGATACAGGTGGTGTTTGTGTAGCCACTGGGTTTTACGAGCGGGTGGAGCATAGCACGTACGCTTCTATCCTCCCCTCTTTCCTCCTTCTCCCCTCCCAACCGTAAAACACATGCGTAGTAGTCACCTTAGAAGGGAGGGGAGAAAAGGAGTTGGCTGTATCTCCGTCCTCATCAATTCTAGCGCCATTGAGAGCTTTCTCGTATCAGAGTGAAGTTCAATCAATTTGTGGTAAAATTACATAAAGTACGTATTTTCCAAACAGACAATTAAGCAGAGAATTGCTTTCTCATCAGACGTTTTGCCACTACAAACCACTCCTACATTCAGCCATCACCACCTTTTCTATCTCACTTTTCTTTTTGAATCGCCCATTCCATTTCTACTGTGGCTGACTGAGGTTATTGCGAAGAAATGGTGCTAATCATTGCATTGCAGGAGTGCACGATCAAGAAAGTGCGAAGGATGTGGGTGATAACAAGGCATTCTCTCTCATCCAAAGAATGGGGTATCATTTTCTGCATTGCTGTATCTATCCAAGTAGTGGTACATCCTACGGTATCCTTAAAAATGACATAGGAGACGAAGAGGTGTCTCGGCTAAAACTGAGCAGTGTACCTGGTTACCAAGAGCAGATTAGAAATGGACAAATAACTTGATCTTTAAGGCTACTCCCTGTCTTTGCAATGGTTACACATATCTGAATGTTGAGTTGGGCGTAAGCCTTTAATTAGTTGTCACACCGTTCTTCCAATTTAAGAATTATTTTTAGAAAAAATCAAAAAATGGGGAAAATTTTTATAGAAAATGGACAATCATAAGGCTGATGAAAAACGTTTACTTGCAACTGCATCTTGTTCTACTGTTGTGAACGCTATGAAAAACGCACTCGGGCTACTAGATATTTTGGACTATGTACTTGTTCATCTATCCATCCATTAATTCATCCATCATTCTATCTACCTACCCATCCCACTACCCATTTATCAACTGTCACGCTGAATCGTTAAGGAAACCAAAGACAGTGATCCATGTGGAATCAATTTTTTTTATTTTCGCACAACTTACAGCAGTAATTCTTCCCTCCATCTGGCAAAAGCCTGCCTTCTTTCTTTGTTCTACTAATAAGATAGCTTTGTACTGTGAAATTATGCATAAAAAGACGTCATGTCGCAACCGCTGCAAAAGTTATCATTAAGAATTGGGTAGTCAAATATGGTAACTCCGGTTTTTATTTGATTTACAAATATATCTGTGATTCTGACACATAATCCGAAATAATGATTTTTTAAAAAAGTCAAGCGACCCGAAAATGGATAAACTACTTCTTAAAAAGGGCAAATATTTTGTGAACCCATATCAAATTTACCAAATGTTATGAAATTTGTCACTTTTTACCCGTTTTATTATAGAGTCGTTTTGAGCCATCAAGATTTTACAAATGTCTCTAATAATTCAACAACCAAAAGTGTTTTGGAATGAACAATCACGAGAAAATTGGGGAAAAATATCTCATTTACTCTAAATTTGTCCTAAATCTGAATTTTTAACCACTTACATATCAAAAGCACAAACGGGTGTTCTGTTACTCTAACCTTCCGCCAGAGCGTTTGCTTTACTTGAAGGTGCCCCCTCTGAGAACAAGGATAGCACATACGTGCAGTCCAAACTCTCTTGAATTTTGTCATCACACGTCTCTTACATTAATCATTTCTTCTCTGACAGTTGGCTAGATAAGAGTTCTTTGTCAAATAACTATCTGTTTTACTCAAGCACATTCAAACCTTTTTCATGGCATTATTTTAAGTTGCATATTATTCATGGCTTATTATTAATAAAATAGGAGGGGAAAGAAGATTTAATGAAGGTGTGCAAGTGAAAATTCTTGTCCGACTGTGATAGAGTTGTTACTTTTAATGAACTAGTCCTGTAGGATCCTCATGCAAGCTCTATTTTTCTACACAAAGTATTGTCTATACTACTCATGAATGACGCAGCCAAAGCAAATTCCCAGGGGTAAAATTTGAGACCACCAGCCTCGTGAACTCATTAAATTTACCGAAGATTAAAATACCCCAATCTAACAATGACCTTACTTTTATTTATAGGGGTAATATAAATTTTTAATGGAAAACACCACTTTGACATGAACGACTTTTTAGGATCACTTAAATCAACCGGTTGGTAAAATTTACTCCTAGGGAATGACTTGAATGCTCAACTTGTTTAATGAAAAAAGAGTTCATTTGCATATACAAAGGAGTTTAAGGGTACTTTTAAGTTTAAATTATTTTTAAAAATATTACTTAAAGGTCAATTACTAAATTCAACCACATAATTTTTCCCTGTTAAGTTGTTAAGCATCAATACATCAAAAGTTTCTGTCAAAACTTAGTAATTTTTCTCAAAATGGAATAAAGGCATTGGGATTTTAATGATTTTTTTCTCCTTTTGGAGTTTAAGAAAACATTAAAACTGCAAGTATTGTTAAAGACTCTGAAAATTTTAAAATTATTTTGCATTTTGTTGCAAAAGGATGCTTCTATTTTTGGGAATCTAACATTTATCATTTATTGCATGTCCCATCTCATTATTCTTCTAATTTGTCATCCGTCCATGTAAATTAACTATCAAATTCCTTCTGTCCCCTAAAGCAAATATTCTCCAATTACAGACGTACAGTATTGTAAATTGTTCTAAATCCTAGAAACAGAGCCCTCTTGTGCGTAATAAAGAGCTTATTTAGCATTAGCTGAAATGGACTTCCAAATTTTTGGAAGTACTTAATTTAGAACTTCCTACACGATTTACGGCAATTCCAGATTTTAAGCTAAATCCTCTTTATTAGCGCCAGACTCTGATTGAGCGAACGCTCCCCTTCCTTATTGGTGGAAAGTCATTCGCTGGTGATTGGAGAATACTGGCCAGCCAATAACCTTGGGACTCCTGTTTGCCTCATTTAAGCGCTGCCATTGCAGTACATAATTTTCACAAGTGCTCGCTACTATGTGTGAGAGGAAAAGTAGATCACCAGCAAGAAGGCTATTTCAAGATTCCAGCAACACCAACGATCGAGTAGGAGAAATCGTAGATGAAATTATTGATCGTATCGCTGAAATGAAAATCTCTGCATTCCGCAAAAAGTACCAATTTGATTTCAAAACCATGCAGCCTTGCAGCAGCGAAACAGACCTACGAGTAAACTCTACGAATGGCAGAGAGCTTCGACACTGCTGGAGTTGGGAGGCGGTGGACGCTTGCCTAGTTCCACGTTTCTATCGCCCGATCATAGTCCAGTCAAGACGTCTTGAGAAAAACACTGTTCACACGTCAATTCTGCCACCACCAACACCGCTCATACCTTCACGAGAGACACGAGTCTCACCTCCTGTGAAATTATTCTTTCGCACAGTTCGGCGAGCAAATAGTGTTGATGGTGTTGGACGGAAGCCATTCAACAATGATCTTTTGGCATCTCGGACTTCATGGACAGTTCACAGAGGTCAAAGGACCACGGAATCAGGAATCATCCACCCTTCGATGACAACTTTTCCTTCAGAGGTAGGCATCAATTTATTAAGTGAAAGGTGGTTTAAGTAAATTAGTGTGGTTAGGCATTGACTGATCATGGAAAACGTCAATCAAATCTCACTTTACAATGAATTGCACCTGTGGATATGGTTAGTGCGGAGCGGGTAGAGGAGGTAGTATAAACTTACACAGTGCACGTGCGCCAGTAGCGCCAACATCATCAGCATCCAATTAAAGGTCAGGATGGCGGAGTGAAGGGCGGCACTGACGCGTCATTCCCACCCTCCCCTCCTCCCCTGCCCTTTTCCCACACGAAACACACCTGTCCACCTGCTTAAATGTGTGTTGTTGCTGATACGTCATCACTACTACCACTTGATTTCATCCGCATAATTTATCCCATCTTTTCTACTTAAGCGTCCATCGACGGAGCAAGATGTCAGCAAGGTAACTGCCTGACTGTGGCAACGGCAATTACAAGGTCCAATAGCGCTTCTGTGATATGGTAAGATTTGGATTAGTCTGACGCTAATTTATGCAATCGCTTAAATACGTGCAAAGTAATTAAAAGTTAATGACTGTAAAATTAAAAGAACTAAAGGCGCTTCTTCTTCTGCAAATAGTTATTTTATTTTCCTATTTATATTTTCAGATTCCTGCCGATCTTTTACCTCGAGGTAAAAAGTTAGCTTACTTTGTCTAAACCTGTACATATTTTAATAAAATTGCTACACTTTTTTAATTACTTCTTAGTTTCTTGCCTAAAAATAAGTTTTGAATAGGGAATTAATTGCTTTAATCATAAAAAACAACCAAATATGGAAATTTTATGAAAAATTACCTGATCGAAAGTAAAATTTCTTATTTCTAACTCTCAATACTTATAGAAAATTAAACAACGATAACACTTAATCTAAGTAAGTGCCAAAATTGTCCAAATAATTTTGATGAACTGGTATTTTAAAATTTGTTCTCTATTTTATTGATGCCAAAGGTGATAGTGGTTAAATGCAAAAAATAACATGTTACGACTCAAGCTATCGAGGTCAAAAAGCTATCGCAAACGACAGTTGAAGACGTAGTAAAACAGGGACCCTAAAATAGGTGAGATTAGGGAGAATTCCAGGAAGTTACCGCCATTTTTGCCATTTTTTAAGGGTTTATGCACGTTTGCTCATTCACGGCGAATTGCAATCTTCTGTAACTTTAATGTCTCATGTTCAGCCTTAGAAACCAGGATATCCTGAGTCTTCCCCGAGTTCTTAATAAGTCAAAGTAGTTTGTGGGAGAGTATACTATTAACACGCAGAAGAGTTAGGCACTATTGGTATAGCCCTTGGTACGTGCCACCAGAGCAGAAGTATGAGCTACAGAGATTCAAGTATCTCTGTCAAATATTGTGTGAAATTAAGGAGCGCTATATTTCCTCATCGTACATGCATGTATCCAAATGGATCCATTCGCTGTGCTCCTAGTGCTTCTTACTGGGCAAAACTTTTCCCTCTACATGCTGCTGCAGAGGGGGTTTTCTCGTGTCACTTGTGCCATCAGCCTTTAAATAATTTCAAAGTGCAAATTTCCATAGGAAACTGAGGAATGCCTCCAGCTGAACGCTTAGCTAAATATGTCGTGTTGTGGATGGCTGATGTTACGCGGTCAAGGAAAAGGCCTTTGATGCGTCGATTAATGCCCATTACCCTTGGTTTAAAGGCTGCATCAGGCTCCGACTGAGGACCAACTACATTGCCAAAAGCAGCAGTAGTAGTATGGTGTAAAGCAGGAAGCAAGGTTAAAGAAAATATCTAGCTCAAAAGTAGGTACCTCAGGTTGCTTTAGCATGGATATTCCTAGCAAAAGACGTGGGTTTGGGGCAGAACATCGCCCAATCTTGAGGATGGGTTAGCTAAGAATTTTCGTGGTGCAATTCTCAGTCAGGATGATCGAAGTAAAACCACCACAGTCTACAAAATGGAATACAACTATTAAACTTATAAATTTCTTCAAAGTGATTAAGAAACTACGTTTTTTAAAAGAATAATTAATTCATTCTTACCTATTTTTAGTAGCTAAGACAACTAGCAGTGAGGTTAAAGGAAGATAAGTCAGAATTCCCTTAGCTTACTATTATGTTGCCTTCCTTCCATCGTTAATGAACTCTTTTGGGGCAAAAAGTAGATTGTTTCATTGACTCCATCTCGCGCTACTGTTTTACAAGAAATGCATGTTTGGAAGTACTTTCTTTTCAAATTCATTAATCTTGGAGCCTTGAGTTTTCGCTGTATCGATACGAAGGAGTCATGACATTAGGTATGATTAATAGCGCGTCAATTGGTTAGTCAGCATAAACGCACTTTACTTCCTTTTAAAAGTGCTGCGGAGCACCCAATCATGCATGCAGAAACAAGGTCACTTCATTTGAGTAACTTCCTTTCCGCAGTTGTGAGTACTTTGAATAAACCTCTTTAGGACAATCGCATTCTGTGAGTTTTGCAATTCACAGCTCTGAAATGCTAGTAGGAAATATGCCATTATTTAAGTGGTTAAATGCACTAGTAAACAGAATAACGAACAAAACGCATGCATGAATGAAACAATGAGCAAATAGATAAATAAGCAGATTAATAAATTAAACGGGGAAAATGGGTGGACGACTTGTTTTTGGTACAATAAATGTTAGGATGGCTGGATGGATGCATCAGACTGACGGGTGAATAAATCAAAAGATGAAAGAGGGCAGGAAAGAATGAATGAAAAAAGCAAGGACTGAACAAATAAGCAAACTAACGAGTGACTAAATGATTTAATTCATTAAATAATGGATAGGTGAATGAATGAATGCATAAGTGGGTGACTGTGCATTGAAATGGGTGAATAATGTGAAGAGCAGGTGAATGGTAAAATTTCATTTTACTTCCGGGTCTCCTTTTTTGATTCAAGGAACATCCAATTCGATAAATCCAATTCTCAAAAAGCTTTTCTACTCAATAGCTACTGCGAAAAGTCGTGAACAGTTAAGTAGAATTTCCCGAAGTAGACAATGAAATATTCCCGCATGAATCCTTATTGGCACTTTAAGAAAGGGACAACTGTATGAAATGGCCATTCGAAGGTACTGAATCAAAGAAAAATTAAATACAATGGCAAACGTGAGCAATGGCTATTCACTTATTTTCCCTCTTTTTTAGAAAAGGTGCACAATTTTTGCATGCTTTGTTTTCTTTGTACGGGCTTTTTTCCTTAAAATACAATCCCGAATCACCGAGATAGACTTAAATGCTCACAAGTCTTGTTTATTACTTTGAAAGAAAAACTAAAATGTAAAATGAGAGCTGCTTTTTTCTGCTAAAAGTCTAAACAAACGAACTGCAATTTGACATTTGGATGATTGTTTTGAAGTAAAAATTTTTTATGTGCTAGCAGCTAATGAGATAAGAGTCCTGCCTCTACAAATATCCGTTTTACATTACTTATGAAAAAAGCTTTTATTTTAAACAAGTACAGCTTTGGATACACACATTTTTCTATTAAAAATCCACCTAAACCTTTGGGGTAAAAAGAAACGGCTCCTTTCTTCCAGCATTGCGTAAAGTTAATCATCCTAATGGATACACTGTACAAATTATTTGGTAATCCAAGTTTGCTCTATATGGCATGCATCAGAGAATTTCTGTAATTTTTGAGCTTATGCATGTGTCAGCTTTTCATCGGTACCTTTTATTGTGATCTCTCCTTTCCAACTTACTTTAAAACTCCTCATTATAGATGGTGGTAAATCCTGATGAATAAGACGGATAGAGTTCTTCTGCACTGTGGTTCGAGGTTAAATTGGTTTTAAAACTGCGGAAGCTTTTTAAAGAAAACCCAGTGACATAAACAGCAAACAACAACTCCCTGGAAATTTCTTGAATTTGGTTGATTCTGATGTCAACCTGGTCGGAAAGAGATATGGAATATTCAGAAAAACTGTATGGTACATTTTTCCAGCAGATGAAAATTTTCAAGCAACAAATTCCGAATATGTCTATCTTGAGTGATGAAATAATTTTGCAAAGTTGCGATGGAAGATGAGAAAGTAGGTGCCACTCGCCTAACAACGCCTTTCAAGCAGGTCATAAAACGATGGTTAATGCAAAGCTAGCTAATCAAACATACTGGTCATTGGCTATACCCACGGCCATGCCCGATTCGCCTGTGGCTTACGTCATGAGGCCACAAGTACAGTTGGTTAGGGTTGCAAATCAGGATATCAGGATCATGACAACTTCGATCACCTTTCTCTCAGTTGTGCTGACCGTTTGGGAAGCAAAAAGGGCCTCTTCAAAATACGTTGGCCTCCTTTGGGTACATACCCCTGCACAGTTTTTGCCAGCCATCTCCATTATGGAAGTGATTTTTGGATGTGAAAAGGATTTAATGATTTGTGATGTAAAGCTTGTTGATTCCTTTAATGGGTTCTGGCAGTATCTGGCAGTCCAGGTCACCACTTTTACCAGAAAATTACAAAAAGCTCCATTTAGAAGTTGGACCATAAATTAAGAATGACTCAGTCGCAAAGACACTGTGATCATCTAAAAGAAAGAACCTACTTAGCGGAAAAAGGTGGCCCAGTATGGGAAGTACATCATCGATGCAACTTTTGAAATTCTGCCGAACAAAACGGCCCTGATTACTTGTCTCACTCGTCTGCGTCTAAGGCGTAGTTGCTACGCCCAAACTCTCCTTCAATGGCCACACATTTATGCGCTTTATTTAGGCTGGAAGGAAAGTGAATCTCAGCTTTCAGTTCACATTCCCAGCACACGTGTTCGAACCGGAAATATTTTGCCTCTACGTGTGTCCGCTAACCGGAGCGCCATTCAAGGGTCCAAAATCCGCGCGTTTTGTTAAAGTTCCGTGTGGATAAACAAACACACTAACACATACGTACATGTCCATGCACTATGACCATTTCCATTTCTGCTGTCAGTGCCTTAAATATAAGCCAAAATTTGACAGCTTTACCTCACTTCAGAGTAAAAAAAGTGGTGGGTTTTATCTTTTCAGGCTAATTGCATGAGGAAGACCTGATAAGGAGACCTTGCTTCCAGGTCATTGAGCTAACATGAAATTGATTTGTGCAGCTGTTGATTGGTCTGCCAGGCGTTGACAAACATCATCCCTAAGGCTGATTCAGCGCGGGCTTTGAAAAAAATTAGTAACCGGAAGAGAACTCCACGTGCCTCGCCAAGGATTGGCAACAGAGAGTACATGATGGACAGTATGTTTGGTATAACTGTGGTACACTTGTTTTGGCTTTTTGCTAGTGAGTGACCTGCAGGAACGACCGCATTGGTGAATTAATGAAGGTCATTTAAAAACTTTGCCTTTGTAAACACGGATTAAGCTCATAGTTACTACGTTATTTTTTATCAATTAGGCGTCATAATCTGCAGTTACCCTAGTTTCCTTTAAACTGCAGCTTCCGAGTTACGCTTGAAAGTGATCGGTGCCAACCAACCATGGGAGTAGCTATATTATAAAGACATTGTATAACCACGGGACTGGTAGCATAAAGGAGCATAAAAAACATCAGTTAAAAACATCTAAAAGAGGTAGTTCTGGCTCACGAGACGCAGCAAGACTTCATACAGTCACAGAACAAATTTGAACTCCAGGGTTGGAGAGAGATACTGCTATATCCCCGTCCTCGAGATCGGCCTTAAA